AAGGGCCATTCACAAGAGAGATATTTTAACGTATGGAGAAGATGATTAGAATACGTTCAGAAGAAATATGGAACTACAAAGTTTCACTTATTCTATGAGTAATGATTTTGTTTATAAACTTATGATGTTAAAGTTTGAAGCGAGTTAAGGTTTTTTATGATTTTGTTCATTGTATAATTAGTAAACTTAAATAGATTATGTTTAATATGTTTGCATAATCCTGTATTTTGCTCTGGGAAGTCGGGGGGGAGGGGGGTGGGGGGTGGATGGGTTGAAGTTTAAGTAGTTCAGATAAAGTAGAAATAGTTTTATTGTATATAATTTAATTTTGAGAGAGGAACTGCTCGGGCATTTCCCCTGGACTGCATCAAGAGGGAGAAGAAGAAGGTGAGAAGTAAGTAGGAAGGTGGAGGTGAAGGAGGAGAGGGGGTGAGTGAAGAAAAATAGGGAAAGAAGTAAGTTGGTTTGAGGTGGGATGCGGTTTGGGGGGAAATGGGCGGGCAAGACCGAATGTGGTGTGTATCAATTTGTTTTATTTTTTATCTGAAGTATGTGTAAGATTGTTATGTATTGTAAAATTGAAAATAAAAATTTTTACAAAAAAAAAAATGCTGGACATCAGGAAAATTTGGAAGATATAAAGTGGTGAACTCTTCTGTCTTTTGTGCCTTTGACTTCTGGCGACAAGGTTTTTTGGAGGTGGTATGCTAGCACCTGCTTCCCAGCACCATGACAGAGTGACTAGTCCAAAGTCAACCAACTGGCTTTGTGTTAAATGGGACTAGAATTCCTAGTTTCCCATTTTCTAGATTGGTGCCTTAATCGCTACACCAAACTCTTCTTCTTTATTAGAGGTCTTCCAACAGAGACTGCAGAGTTATCTGTCAAATATGCTTTAAATGGAATGTTTCTCAACTTTAAGATGTATGAATTTCCACTCTCAGAATTCCCAAGCAGCATACCTTGTTCTGTTTTATCTCCCTGATAAGAGGGGACACTCAACAGGTACTCCTCATTCACTCTCTAAAATGATGACAATCTTGGAGTAAAAAAGGGACATCAGATGACCAATGTCAGTGACTTGTTTCCCATTCCCACTTAACCAACCTTAGCAACCTCTTTTTTCTGTAATATCCTCATGTTGCTGCTGCTTTCATTTCATCACAGCTGCAATCTCAAGGAGCCTTAAGGGATCCTTAGTTCTAAATTCCCCACCATCCAGTCAGAACTATAGAATTTCTTGGCTGAGAAAGGAAAAAAGTCAAAAAAATCCAGTTGCTTTTTGGAAAAGCACCCTTGAGACAATCATTACCTGGATGATTGAGAATCTCCATAGACACTTAGTTGTTCTTGTTTTAAAGTGGTATTTTCTTCTTTATGCAGGCCACAAGCTGCAGCAATTTTGCTGTCTACGGATATGATCTGCTGTGTTCTACCATTTCTTCACTCCTGAAAAGTGGGATAGCACAGTGGCTATTAACTGCTTGGTCTAAGCCTCCAAGCTGATCTGCAGACATTCACACCTTTAGAACAGCTGACCAGGAGGGATGGACTCTCTCTGCTATTCACTTCACAGTTCTCTCAACATCTGTTACTTGGGTGGTTTTTGGACTGCTCTGAATCAATACTATATCTGTGTCTAAAGAGAGCTGGGCTATCAGAGGCAGATTTTCCTTTGGACATACCATTTAAATAACTTGTGCAAAACTGGAACAGCTTTGTTTTTGCTGGTCTCAAAGCTCTCCTCCTTTATAGTCCAAGTTCTTGTCAATTAATAATAATAATGATGATGATGATAAAGTTGGAAGCGACCTTTGAGATCATCTAGTCCAACCACCTGCTCGGGCAGGAAACCCTATACAATTTCGGACAAATAGTTGTCCAGTTTCTTCTTAAAAACTTCCAGTGTTGGCGCATTCACCGCTTCTGGAGGCAGGTTGTTCCACTGGTTAATTGTTCTAACTGTCAGGAAGTTTCTCCTTAGTTCTAGGTTGCTTCTCTCTTTGGTTAGTTTCCACCCATTGCTCCTTGTCCTGCCTTCAGGCGCTTTGGAAAATAGCTTGACTCCCTCTTCTTTGTGGCAGCCCCTGAGATATTGGAACACTGCTATCATGTCCCCCCTTGTCCTTCTCTTCGTTAAACTAGACATACCCAATTCCAGCAACCGTTCCTTATATGTTTTAGCCTCCAGTCCCCTAATCATCTTTGTTGCTCTTCTCTGTACTCTTTCTAGAGTCTCAACATCTTTTTTACATCGTGGTGACCAAAACTGGATGCAGTATTCCAAGTGTGGTATTACCAAGGCATTGTAAAGTGGTAAAGAATCACTTGATCTTGATTCTATCCCTCTGTTAATGCCGCCTAGCACTGTGTTGGCTTTTTTGGCAGCTGCAGCACACTGCTGGCTCATATTTAAATGATTGTCCAGTAGGACTCCGAGATCCCTCTCACAGTTACTACTATTGAGCAAGGTACCCCCTATATTATACCTGTGCATTTGGTTTTTCTTGCCTAAATGTAGAACCTTACTTTTTTCACCATTGAATTTCATTTTGTTAGATAGTGCCCAGTGTTCAAGTCTGTCCAGATCCTCCTGTATCCTAAGCCTGTCTTCTGGAGTGTTGGCTATTCCTGCCAGCTTGGTGTCGTCTGCAAATTTGATGAGTTCCCCATCTATCGCCTCGTCCAGATCATTGATGAAGATGTTGATGAGCACGGGGCCCAGAACAGAGCCCTGGGGCACACCACTACACACTTCCCTCCATGTAGATGCGGTTCCATTGAGGACCACACACTGAGTACAGCTGGTCAGCCAGCTACGGATCCATCTGGTGGTGATGCTGTCTAACCCACATTTTTCTATCTTCTCAAGTAGTAGGTTGTGGTCTACTTTCTCAAATGCCTTACTGAAGTCCAAGTAAATTATATCCACAGCATTCCTCTGGTCCACTAATTTTGTCACTTGGTCAAAGAAAGCAATAAGATTTGTCTGGCATGATCTGTTTTTGACAAACCCATGTTGGCTTTTAGTAATGACTTTGTTTGCCTCTAGGTGTTAGTTGATTCATTGTTTGATTATCTTTTCCAGAATCTTCCCAGGTATTGAGGTCAGGCTGATAGGTCTGTAATTTCCTGGGTCCTTTTTTTCCCCTTTTTTGAAGATGGGAACTACATCAGCTCTTTTCCAATCCTCTGGTAGTTCTCCAATGCTCCAGGATCTTTGAAAAATATAGTTCAGTGGTTCTGAGATCACATCTGCCAGTTCCTTAAGAACCTTGGGGTGTAATCCATCTGGTCCTGATGATTTGAACTCGTCTAGGCTGGACAGGTGTTCACTTACCATTTTCTTGCCTATCTTAACTTGTATTTCTATTTTGTTTTTTATGGTACTATTTTTGGTAGGTTTTTTCTCTTTATGTAAAGACAGATGCGAAAAACGAGCTAAATAGTTCTGCTTTCTCCCTATTGCTTGTCACCTTCTTGCCACTTTCACCCACTAATGGACCAATCGTTTCCTTCACTTTTTTCTTGTTTTTTACATGTTGAAAGAAACTTTTTTTGTTATTTTTGACTTTGGTTGCAAGCCTTAGTTCATTTTGAGCCTTAGCTTTCCTCACTTCGTCTTTGCAGGCTCGGGCTATTTGCTGATATTCTGACTTAGTTATGTGTCCCTCTTTCCACTTTCTATACTTGTCCTTTTTGTCTTTCAATTGATCAGAGAGTTCTTTATGCAGCCATGCTGGTTTCTTTTGAGAGCTGTTATTTTTCCTCTGTGTTGGTATTGTGCTAGATTGGGCCTTTATCATCTCACTTTTCAAAATTTCCCCTTGAGGATTCTCATCCATGGAATCCTTCCCAAACCCTCTCTAAGTTTATTGAAATTAGCTCTCTTGAAGTTCAAGACTCTAGTTTGACTGTGTTCTATTGCTTATGCTTCCATAATGTTGAATTCCAATATTGCATGATCGCTTCCTCCCAAGGTTCCTGTGGCTTCAACACCTTTTATTATTTCATCTCTGTTAGTGAGAATTAGGTCCAAAATGGCTAATCCCCTAGTTCCCTTCTCTACTTTTTGGGAGACAAAGTTGTCTGCTAGGTTTGTCAGGAATCTGTTTGATCTTCCACTTGGTGCAGAGTTTGTCTCCCAGTTGATGTCAGAATAGTTAAAGTCCCCCATTACTATTGTGATGTACTTCCTACATACCTTAGTTAGCTGACTGACTAAAGTTCATCTATTTCCTGTGTTTGGTTGGGTGGCCTATAGTATACACCTATGGCAATGTCGTCCCCCCCCCCTTTTATATTGACCCATATGCATTCAGGACAATTTTCATCATTGTTGTGCTCTATTTCTGTAGAGATGTAGTTATTTCTTATATAGAGAGCAACTCCACCTCCTCTTTTATTTGGTCCGTTTCTTTTAAATAATTTAAACTATTGGTAAATATTTCCTGCTGCTCATGTTTGGGGGAAGTGAGGGAAAAACTAAGGAATCCTTCAATTCTTGCCTGAATTTGTTGTGTACACCACCAATAAGGACAGTCAAACAATATGATGTGGCAGGACAACTTGTTTGGGAAAGGGGTGGGAGCAATTTATTCACCCACGTATTTAAAAAATGGATTACATCACATCGCTTCCTCATTTCCCCATCGGGAACGTTACTACCGGCTCTCATACGCTCTAAATCAGAAGTACCTCCCAAGGATTTCGACAGGTCTTTTGCCCGGGTGAGGATGTGTAGACGATGGCGTTTAATTTTTTTTTAAAATGTTTGTACCACTTTCTTGCTTTGAAAAGCAATTCCCCAATTACCCCCCTTGACTGCAGTAACCAAAGCCCAATTTCCCCGGATTCGGGGCACGTCTCGCGGAACATCTGAATCAGATCACGTCTCTCGTCTCAACAGTGGGGCAGGGTAGGAGGGGGACTTTTACAGGTGGAAGGCGGGGCTTCCAGTGAGACTCCTCTTTCTCTCACTCTTGAGTTACCAGCAGCAAGTCAATCCCGGACGATCGAAAACATCTGCTGGAAGAAACCGATGGTGCTCCTTTGTTCCCTTGTCTGGCCCTGATGCGATCGCTCTCAGCTGCCAACTCTAAGGCAGAAGCATAAAATCTTCGCTTTGGGAAATGTCAGAGAAAAATCTTCGCCTCCGAAGTATCTGAATTGGCAGCCCATCTCTCAGCCTCATCTCACTGTCATTGCACCTGCATCTGGCTTAAGGTAAAAAATATCTTTCCCACAATGCAACCTTCATAAAAGATGCTGGGATTACAACTTCCAGAATTCTCTGGCTGGGTTTGGAAAATCGGGAGAGCCGTGGTTAATTCAGATTCTGGGTTTCCTAGATTTGCGCTGCCAAAAATCGGAGGACCACTAGATGGCAGCAAAAAGAGACTGAAAATTAGTGCAGTGTTTCCCAAACTTGACAATTTTAAGGCATGAGGACTTCAACTCCCAGAATTCTACAGCCAGCAACGCTGGCTGTGGAATTCTGGGAGTTGAAGTCCACATGCCTTAAAATTGTCAAGTTTGGGAAACACTGTAATAGTGGATGTTTCAGCCAAAATTTGGCTTTTCTAAATCAGTGTTTCCCTGACAGGGATCAGTAAGTAAAGTTGCAGAGACCGCACAGTTAAACGAATACTTCCTCTCTATGTTTGTCTTTAAAAAAAAAAAATATTGTGGTTCATTCTTCTTGATGTATTAGATGATTATAGTTGTGCTTTTGTATGCTTTCTCCTCCCTTCTATTTTTGGAGGCATCTTGAAACTAAATGTTGCCACAAAAATGTTGATCCATTTATTATTTGAGTAATTGTGTATACCTCATGGTGCAGAGTAATAACAATTTCCTAAGCAGAAACTTGTTGCTCAAAATTTTCTTCAATAGAAATCTTTATTAAGGGGGTATTTGGGTCTTCATCCCCCTGAAATCCCCTAAACACATTTCCTATTTGTCTGAGATCATGGTTCCTCTTAGGATAGCACACGTGGACTCATAATAATGGAAATTGAGAGCTGTTCACTTTTGTCATTTTTTTTTCTGAGTTTTACTACTTTACTGGTATAGTACTTATACTTTGAGTTCTGTGCTTTGGTAAACAACTTTTCAGACCCAAATCCTTTTTTTGTTAAGGCTGTGGCAGTCAACAACAAGTGGTTATGTTACTGGTGGTTAACATGAGGAGGCTGGATGGGTCACTTGCTCCAATTACAATTGGAGAATCATTTTCCTAAATGAAACATAAATGGACCTTCTTCTCAATTAGGTCCCAAATTAACCTTCAGGCCACAGAGCAGGTTAAATACTTTATATAGTTCTAACCGAAAAAAGAATAAAAAAGAACTGTTAGTTTCATGATTTGGAAAGTGTGTGGAATGTTTGTAGCCGCATCACAATGTTCACCTGCTTCCTTTTGCAATAAAGTATTATTGCAAACACTTTTTCTCAAGTCCGTTAGCAAGACAAGTATCCCCCATACCATAACTTTTTGGTTCTGTGAATAGCATTTTGTTATATATCATTGTAACTTTATGCAAATTTCTCTAAAAATGTCATATTGAATTTTATTTTTCTCTTATGACATATAATCTCATCCATCATGTATCATCTGCAAATTTGATAAATATTCTGCATTGATCTGTATTCTACATCAGCAAAGTCATTACATTTTAAAAAAGATAAATACTTAAGCTTAAATCTTGAGACATTCCTCTCTGATTTGATGAGGAACCTTTAACAAAAGCTTCATGAATGCAATTTTCAAACCTGTTAAGTGCTGCCATAAAGAATATATAATTATTTAATCTATCACCAAAGTAGCAATTAAAAATTAGTTCAGTTCTGTTGACTAATTCATGCTGACTTCTGGTAGTTATCACATTATTTTTAAGATGCTTTCAGATTGTGATTGTTATGATCTACTCTAGAATCTTTCCAAATATTAATGACTGTACAGATAGTCCTCACTTAACAATACTATTTAAGACCATCGTTCCCATCACTAAGCCACAAAGTCATAAAGGATGATGTCATGTGACACCACCACTTAGCAACAGCAGTTCATGCATTTCTGGTTGCCATCCTAAAGTGAACCCCCACACTATCATTAAGCAAGATGTCACACTTTCACTATTTGCAAGCTCCTGCCAGCTTCCCCTTTGATTTGGCTGGCACTGAGGGTCTCAAATGGCAATCATGTGATGTCCAAGATGTTGTGGCTACTTAAGTACAAAGACTGATCATAAGTACCACTTATTCAGTATCCTTGTATGTTCATATGGTTGCTGAATGACTGTTTATTATATAAAGACCACCTCTAATTCCTCAGATACTTCTCCCCCACTTTGTCTGCTACCTCAGAAAACATAAGCTAATAATCTTAAATTGCACCCCAATGAATTTGGTTGAGTAGTAGAATGGGTTTCCAATGGTAAATTAATCTGCAGTGGGGTCAATTACAGGTAGTCCTTGACTTACAACCCATTCATATAGTGACTGTTCGAAGTAGGAACAGTATTGGAAAAAGTGATTTGTAACTGTTTTTTCACATGGCCCATCATGCTTATGTCATCAAAATTCAGATGCATGTATTTATGATGGTTGCAGGATATCCCGGGGTCACATGATCTCAATGGGGAAGCCAGATTCACTTAATCAGCATGCTACTGACTTAACCGTTCCAGTGATTCATTTAATAAGAAAGTTTGTAAAAGTCACTTAACAGTTTCTTGCAACAGAAATTTTGGGCTCAATTGTATTAATAAGTCGTGGACTACATGTGCTTTTAGAAGTGTAGGGCTTTTATTCATTAGATTTATTGTCTTGTTTTTCCTTCAGGCATCCAAGAGACAATCCTGTCAGGAGATTGGCTGAGGAAGAGTGAGTGCCCAAAGTCATCCAGAGAACAGCCAAGGCTAAAGGTGGGCTTGAGCCTGGTTTTCTTATATCCTACTCCAGGACTGGAACTACTACATAACATTGTCTTTTCTGTATACTAAGTGGTACAAGCTTTTAAGCAATACTACAACACAGCGATCTCATAATTTTTTGTTTCTGTGATGATTACAGAGGCCTCAAGTGCTGCGTTGAAAAGATGCAATATTATTTCATGTCAGAAATATCAGTGATTGAACTGTGATAGATCATGAATATTCTCTATCCATTTGGACAGTATATATATTGGCATAAGTAAGATATATGAATGAAACAGAATGGGAACCGGATTGTATTCAAATATATAAAGATAAATTCTCTGTTAACTGTGGCTGGTCTGGCTGATTCAAGAATAAAATACCCAGAATTACTTGGAAATAATGTTCAGAGACCTCACTGGCACTTCCATTGGAAGATAACATCTTTAGTCTTGAAAAGACATCACGTATTTTTGATTGCCCAATAATTCTACAATAATAGCCAATTATGTATAATATGAAAAAATCTACTATAGGCAGGGAAATCCATAAGATATGGTTAAAAATAAGTTAATATGGTAGTCTTGATGATGCAATCAAAGCTTTGCCTATTTTTAATGTGCCACACATAAAAACGGGTGAAGCTTTAATTGTATTATCATTGCCACCATCTTGACTTTTTTGTATGTTGACTTTTTAGCCTGTGGGTAACCATGTTTATAAGAATGAGCTTTACTAGAAAAATGGCTCACCACATCTGTTATGCAAATGTTCACTTTCTTTTCTTAAATTGGATTCCTAGTTCAAATCTTATATTCAGATTTAATTTTCATGTGTGTCTTATTCACATCTCCATAGTAAAGACTAGTGAATTATACTATTAAAATTACATTTAAAAATAATTAAAAACTCTGTTGTTGTTTTTGCTCTAGAGGAGAAACTAAAGATAAACAAATTTTAAAATGTGTTCTGAAAATCTGGCAGTTCTACTAACACTGATCTTTTGCTTTATCAGCTCAGGTAAGTATAATCCTTTTTGCTTTCTCTCTTTATCTTAAAACATGCCATTTTGGGTTGATTGTTTTAAGACTGTCTATGCTATTGAATGCTGGATATCATACGCAGATGATACATAAACATTGAAACAATGGAAAGTTGTTATAGGTAACATTTGAGAAAGGCATGTTTGATCAGGCAAGATAAGCTGGGAGTTGTGAAGTTGCATGTTTTCTTTTCAACATAATCTGTTGTGAACTTCATGTAAAAATACACCATACAGCAGGATAATAAATAAAAGTGATTGGAGGTTGAGCATTTAAATATTTCCAAGGAATGGAAATGATCTAATACTAATGAAAAATAAATGTCAGTGCTACATCATCAAGGATTTGAGTCATTTAAGACAACATTTCTCCCCTACTCGAATCATAATATCTTATAGCAGGGGTCCCCAAACCCTGGTCCGTGGACCGGTGCCAGGCCGCAGCATGCCAGCAACTGGTCCACACAGAAAAGCAAAGCCCCATTCATGGGATACAAAACCACATACTGTCCGATCCACGGAAAACCTTTCTCCACGGAACCAGTCCCTGGTGCCTAAAAGTTTGGGGACCTCTGTTTTATAGCATTTTTCGTATATAGTTTAAAATAGAGCAATTTGTCATTAACTTCTTTTTCTTAATTATATTAAGGCAAGAATATAACATGAACCAAAGTTTGTTTGTTGTTGTGGCATCATTATCAATAAGATCTATTTCTCCTTCCTACCATACCAGTGGTCTGCAAGATTTTATGACACAAATGCTTAAATGCATAAATCCTTTTAAGGTTTAGTGTTCTGTTTCAGAATCGTGAAATATTCATGAGGTACCTTGAAAGATACCAATAAATAGTATGAATATACTAGGCCTCCTAGGGGATCTGGGAGATGGGCAGAATAAAGATATTAAAAAGTCAAAATGGCAGCTTCAACATATGTAAAATTAGGACAGGCCTTGCATCACTCAGTTGCTTCTTGACTTTTTGGCACCAACTGTCCAAAAATATGTCCCCAAACTCCCAGAGGTGACCCCAATAAAAACAAACAAACAGCTTTGTTAGCTGGTGATTCTGGAATTCTAAATGTTCTAAAATTCTAAATGTTATAGACCAGTGTTTCTCAACCGTGGCAACTTGAAGAGGTGTGGACTTCAACTCCCAGAATTCCCTAGCGCCTTGGGGAAGTTCTGGGAGTTGAAGTCCACATCTCTTCAAATTGCCAAGGTTGAGAAGGTTGAGAAATACCGTTGTATTTGTGAATGGAAAGCACAATCAAAAGGTGTCTAATAGCAAATTCTCTGTGTAACACATGTTATTAAAATAATAATAATAGTAATAGTAATAATAATAATCAACACCTGGGCAATCCCAGTCATTAGGTACACAGCTGGAATAGTGGACTGGACTCAAGCAGAACTAAAAGCAATGGATAGGCAGACCAGGAAAATAATGACAATGAATCATGCCCTTCATCCACGCAGTGACATTGATAGACTTTATCTACCAAGGCAAATAGGTGGGCGTGGAATGCTACAAGTACATCAGATGGTTGAAGAAGAAAAAGTGGCTTTGGAAGAATATCTGAAGAACAATGATGAAGATGCACTGAAATTAGTATATCAGGAAGGCTTACTAACTACTGGAGAGACCAAACTGGCCTACAAGAAAGACCAAATGAAGAACAGAATAGAGGCATGGGAAGACAAAGCACTACATGGCCAATACATGAAAAAAATAGCTGGGAAAGCAGATAATAATAAACCTGGCAATGGCTAAGAGCAGGAAAATTGAAGAAAGAGACCGAGGGACTAATTCTGGCTGCACAAGACCAAGCCTTAAGGACAAATGCATACAAAGTCAAAATTGAGAAGACAGCAACAGACAGTAAGTGCCGCTTATGCAAAGAAGCTGAAGAAACAGTGGACCACTTGGTAAGCTGTTGCAAGAAGATTGCACAGACTGATTACAAGCAGCGGCATGACAAAGTAGCAACAATGGTGCATTGGAAGATCTGCAAAAAATATCATTTGCCTGTAAGCAAAAACTGGTGGGATCATAAAATAGAGAAAGTCATAGAAAATGATAAAATTAAACTGCTCTGGGACTTCAGAATTCAAACAGACAAGCACCTGCAACATAACACCCCAGACTTAACAATTGTCGATAAGAAAGACAAAAAAGTCTGGATAGTGGACGTGGCAGTGCCTGGAGATAGCAGAATAGAAGAGAAAGAACTGGAGAAGATAACAAAATACAAAGACCTACAAATAGAAATAGAAAGACTGTGGCAAAAGCAAGCAAGGGTAGTACCAATAGTCATAGGCTCCTTGGGTGCAATCCCAAAACAACTGGAGCACCACTTGAACACCATTGGCATTGACAAATTCGCTATTAGTCAATTGCAAAAGGCGGCCTTATTAGGAACTGCTTCCATCCTGCGACGATATCTGTAATACCATCAAACATCCACATCTGCCTATCCCAGGTCCTGGGTAAGGACTCGATAAGTAGACAAAATGCCAAATCCAGTCTGAACATCTGGCTGACTGTGCGATAATCGATAATAATAATAATAATAATAATAATAATAATAATAATAATAATAATAATATAATATGCATCCATTCTCTTCTATACTATCTGTTTAAGGAAAATTTCAAAAGAAACATATGGGAAAATATGGTTGAGTTATAACTGTATGTCATATTTTCCATACTATTCCATGAAGCTTCTATGAATGAGACAGCATAGCTAGCACAACAGAAGCTTCATTTGAACTGATTTCATTTGGAACCTAAGAAATAAAAACTACTACATTAGTCTATACCAATTAACACAGAAAACTTACTGAGTGGAGATAATAGATTTATAGATATATTTAGTGAAAGAAATCTAAAGGCTTTTTAAGCCAACTACTTTCATTCAAATAATAATAATAATAATAGTAATAATGTTGGAAGGGACCTTGGAGGTCATCTGGTCCAACCCCGTGCTCAGGCAGGAAACCCTATACCATTTCAGACAAATGGCCGTTAGCATCACATCACAAGATGTAATGAAATTGTTGACAGATACAGTATTTAAATTGGAATGGGAAGCAGGTAGGACAGGAGATCAAAATGAGAAATGTTGCCATTTTATACTTTTCTTTCTAGCATATATACGAACAACTTTTTAACCAAAGAAAAGCTGCCATCAACAAGTTGTGCTATAAAGATGCACTATACTAGCCGAAGCGTTACCATATTTCTAATAGCAAATATTCTTTCTATTTTCTATATGTTTTCATTTTCTGAAGGAAATCTTTGCAAAAGGTACTCACCTATTAATGTGCTAGAAGAAGAATATTTTTCTTTTTGCTGCCCTAAGAAACCACAGCATGAAGGACAAGTTATCCATTGGTATAAAGAAAAAAAAGGAGAAGAAATGCTAATTCATGGAGACAGCAGAATTGATTTGAATGGGTCTAATTTGCGATTTTGGCCAATTTTACTGAATGACACTGGAATCTATCAATGCTGTCTCAAGTAGGTACACTATATACATAGATACAAGGATTATGTGTTTTAAAAGGAAGTTATATTCATATTTGTCTCTGTTCTCCAACCTTATGATCCATTCTCTGTTTCCTGGATGTCACCTCCCTAAATTCATGGCCAGTTAGCTGAAAAGTGAGCACAAGTTAGTCAAGCAAGGGGAGAAGTCTCTAAAATGGCAGCTGGCTGTCCTCTGATGGTCACATGGCTGAATACCTGGGTAGCAGCAGAATCGTGGTAAAGAAGTCGGCTTGTGACTAAACTCTGGTTGATGAGAAAAGTAGAAATGAGATTTTAAGCAAGTCAGAAGTCAACCAGGGCAACATGTTCATTTGAACAACTGATTTAATCTTTTCTAACAACTGTTTAAGAATTTATATTATTAATCTGAGAATTAAATGGTAAATCACTTATTACTGGAGGGAGTTTTGAGTGGTGGCCCATATTAAAAGATTGTTAATGGAATATATTTCTATTTTGCATGTGTCGGTAAATATTTATGTTCCAATTCCTCAAATAACAACAAAACAAACACAGTTTAATGCTCTTTAAGGTATAGGCTTCACATGCTACATAAATTCTCCCCCCCCCCAAAAAAAGGTTGTCTTGTTACCAAGTTTGAGTTTGATATTAATGTAGAATTATCAGAAGGATCAAACCCTAGTAAATAAAACAAATGGAAGGAGAACCCCATATGTTCCAAGACAGTTGAACATTAATGTTGTCCTACTTAAGCAACAATTCCAATATAACTATTGGGGAAAAGTTTGCAACAGTAAAACTTGCCATCCATGAACCAGAAAAAGAAAATGCACCCTATAAAATAAACTTAATATGAAAATCAAACTTCCTTCTTTAAATAACAGTAGAAGCTTCTTGAATCAAAAAAGGCATTTTATCCTAAGTAAACTTCTGAAATAGTGTATTGCATTTTTAAAAAATAACAAGTTAGCTATATGCACTATAAAAGATATAAATTCTTCATGGTAAAGCATTCCTTTATAAAGTATATATTTTGTTCCAGATGTTACATTTAAGTAATATTCATTTACCCAGTTTAATAATTTGAAATAAACCATCTCTTTTGCTATGGTGAGAATTCTTCATGTTCCCAAGGTAAATTTAGTAATCATTTCCTCCTCAACAGTAATGTAAAAGCAAGAAATCCATTCAGCATTTGTAGCATTTAAAGTTAAAGTATGATAAAGTGTTTACACATATTAAAATTTCATTATTACAAAATTATCCTGTTCGTGTAATACATGTAAGTGGCAAGTCACCTGTGCCTTTGGAGTAATTTTTCAGAGTTAGTTTGCTATTACTGTAAAGGGCTGTATTTCAAAACCCAACCCATCAAAGTCACTAAATAAATGGACATATAACTGGACATTTAATGAGCACTATAAATTATGTGTAAAGAACAATCTTTATGATAGTATATCTCCAAGCATTTAGGTTTTAGATCAAAAGCAATGTTTGATGTGTGTCCAGTTTCCAACTCAGTATCAATGATCTTTTTTTCAAGATCAATGTAATATGATCTGCAAAAGAGATTCCTGTTAGAATCTTAGCTGCTACATTGTATCCCTGCACTCAGCTTACAGTATTAATTTAATTTAATTTTTAGATTGCCCTATTCTTAAATGACTCTTGGGCAATTTACAACTAAAAAAACCAGTGTATAGAAAGTAAAATTGAAAATCAAAACAAAACAAAATAGTGGCTCTAAAATCAACTGTAACCAAGGCCTGGGAAAATAATCATATCTTTAGCAATTTTCTGAATGACATAAGTTTGGGAACCACAAAAATCTATGGGAGGAAGCTAATTTCAGAAGTCAGAAATTGCAGCAGAGTAATTGCCTCTCCTGTGTCCTGCCAGATGACATTCTTTAACTGAAAGGATTTGGAACATGCCCACCCTGCTGGATCAAAACAGATGGCAGGGACGACTGAAGACAAGCAGTACCTCAGATAACCAGCCCTATGCCATAAATGACTTTAAATGTGATAACCAGGACCTTGAATTACATCTGGGTGTCCTGACCATTGGAACTTGTGAACAGCAGGATCATGCATGCATAATGCAGTGCCCCTATCACTGCCCAGCCCACCAATTTTGGACCTGTAATAGTTTCCAGATAGTTTTCAAGTTTTCAAGACCACATTACTGCAATCCTATTTAGAGCTGACTACTGTACGAGCAATGATATGTAGGACCTCCCAATGCAGGAAAGGGCATAATTGGTTCACTAGATATATATGTGGATATATCTTTGAGCAGGAGCTGAAAGTCCAAGAGTCCCTTAGTTAATGTCCAAATCTGAATTAGGGAAGTGATAATGAGTGGTCAAATATTTGCATTTTCAAAAAAGCCCCACTTGAAGTGTTTAATGATAGTCTACAGGGGAAGTGATTGAATAATAAATCCCTAAAGTCTTATCTTCCTTCTTCAAAATATAGAGAACTTATCTCCAGAGAAATCTGGAAGAAAGCATTTTGGGAGTCTACCGCTGCTTCTTAACCTTCCAAGAGAAACATTAATTCCATAAGCCCCTTCCTTTAAGCTTTTCACATGACTTCATCCAGGATTGACTTGAGTGACAGGACTTTTTATGTGAAATTTCAGTTTATTCATTCTTTCTCAGCCACTTGCCTATGCCCAAACAACAGTATAGAGCTTCCAAAATCTTTTAGAATTTGTGAAAAAGAAAGATAGCTAGTCTTCTAGATATCATTATCTTCTTGGTGCAATTAGTCTTTAAAACTTTAAAGCGTTAAGAAGCTTTGAATATGATATCAGTAAATTCTGTGGCAGAGCACAGATATATAATAACCCTGTTGCTTCAGAAATTGTGGTTTGTTTGTTCCATTTTCTTAGCTCCAAAGGTGATGGCACAGTTTTCAGCCTCAATGAGTGTGTATAACAGGAAGGGTATTGCAAATTAAATTTTTCTCAGCATGTCTACAACAGGAAGAATGTTACAAAAATTATGAGTAAGTCTGTCACTTAAATGGTACTTAAGCACTTCACTGCTATGATCTACATAAATATTTCAGCAATTGCATTTTAGAAAATGATGAATTCAACCTTTCCTTATTTTAAAGTGGAATTTCCAAATATTCTTACGTGTGTTAATTGTTTTATAATGGAGACATTATTTTCTCTAGTCATCCAATTTCTTAAGTTGCTTCTACTTTCCTGATAACCCAACCCAACCTTTTGACAATAAAGAAAAAGTAAGTTCTCTAAACATCTCCCCCCCCCATTTTAAGGAATCAGGCATTATACATCTGTTTTCTAAGGCCTCTAATCAAAACTAAATAGCATAGTTTCTTTCCAATTCTGAAAAAGAGTATGCCCCCAAATAAAAAAAATACTTTCCTTTCTTCCTTTTAATGATAACAGGGAAAATAATAGTCTTGTATATTTATAAAATGTAGCACCATTCATTGTACTTTTATTAGTATTGTTCATATAGACCTCTAAAAAGAATGAAACAACAACAACATGTGTGGATACCAATAATAAATGGAGGAAAAACAGATAAAATAAATCTATAACCTGCTTTGTAGAGTAGTCTAACCTATGATACCCTTATTCCTCGCATTCCAAACACTATGTGGTTTACAACCACCAAAAATGTCATTCTTCTGTTTTAATCATGTGTATTCAAGAATATTATGCTCTGATACTAAACATATTTAATTGGAAGTAAACACTGCTTTGTTTAGAAAAAAATAAAGGTGCTCATTTAACAATGGTAATTGGGAACAACAATTCTGTTGCAAAAAAATACAGTCATAAAGCATGATGTCATGTTGACTGTGCTGACTTAAGATGGCAATTCTAGAACTTCTGGTTGCCATTGTTAAGCAAATCCTGCAGAATTGTTAAGTGCAATGTCACATTGTTGCCATTTGCAATCTTCTGCTGGCTTGCCCACTGACTTTGCTTGTTGGAGTCCACAGTGAAGGTGATCACGTATCTGGGATATTGTGACCTCATAATTCTGAGCTGGTCACCAAGTTCCTGAACTGTGATCATATGACTATAGGGATGTGTGATGGCTACAAATATGATGACCAGTCATAAATCCCACTCATTCAGCATCATCAAAACTTTGAATGGTCACTGAATGTGGTCATTAAACAAGGATTACCCATAGTACAATTTTAAAATGAATAAGTATACATCTTTATGTATATATTTGTCTAGTTAAACTGTGATTATAAATTATTACAAGAGAAGGACATAAAAAAGAAGTTATACTTGTATTAACATGGATGCTAATTGGTCTGACATTTCGGACTTCTGAGTGACACTGAATTGATCCTCGTGGTAACTGCCAATCATGGTAGTAGCTGTGATTGGCAGTCTAGTTCAGCCTTTGAAATAGCTGGGTTTATCCAAGTTTTAAGCACTTGTTAAAAGTGTGGCCACATAACAAAAATAAGAGCATGTTCTTTAACTTTTGAGATCTATACCCTTAATTTCTTCACATAGATTTTGTAAGTTTATTTTTATGATGAGAAGAAGTTGGGTATATATCTCCTCCTTGAAACAACTATTCTGCTTTAAATGTCACATTTCTTGTTCCCATGCAGAAATGGAACCTGGAAAAGATCCTGCAAGGAATGGTCCTTAAATGTCATCAAGAGAAATAAAAACAATTGTTTTACTGAAGAGCATTTGCTTACTGGAAGAGATGGAATAATTGGGACAGGCTATTCTTTCACATGCAGTGATACAAATGATAGTACAAATGTTATCAACATAACGTGGTATAAGGTACTTTTAAAACTATTTTTTGTTTATAGATTGAGTCAGGAAGAGGGGGATAATATACCATAATGGAAATTGTCATCACTGCATTTATCCACTGCAACAATAAAAATACAAATGATCATCTGAGTTGCAGAGAACATTGTCCTACTCTTTGTTTAGTGATCCTGGTGGCTTCAATAAAAACCCAGTCTCTATGAGTACAGCATAATGGTGTTCAACCTATAGAGATAGATATATAGAAACTTCTAGACACTACTAATCATCTATAGAGATAGATATATAGAAACTTCTAGACACTACTAAATGCTGCATTATTTGGATAGCAGTTCATGAACCTTTCATTCTAGTGAAGCTTCCCAAATGTAAACATTTCCACTGTGCTTGTAGAATTGGTGTATAAAGTGAGGACTTTTGTCAACCAGTATTCATTCAAGGAGTTACACACTTATTCAAAAACCTCTCAGTGTAGCTGAAGTTCATATCCTTATTTCCATGCATGGTGGAAATAAATACATCAAGGATCCTAGACTGAAGCTAATTAGAGTTTTAAACTTCACTGCTAGTGTCTTCTACATCTGGATAGCAACTTCTATTCAACTTATCTGTTGTTGAAAAATAATTTGTTTTTAATCAATCCCTCTTTACATGTTTTTTGAACAGAGTTTTGTATAAGGGGAGCATTTTATTAATATTTTACAGATGGTTTAATTTGTTAATTTCATGAATACTGATTTATAATATAAACTTCTGTTGGTAATATATTCTAGTAATAACTACATATTTCATTGAAAAAGAGTGAATATTGACATAAGCAGGTTGTTTCTGCATTGCATTCATTCTTTCCAAAAAGTCTTGCATTTTCCTGAAGTGGATTTAACACAAAGAATTTATTTGAAGCAACTAAGTCTGAGGATTTAGTTTAATCATCTAAATCTATGCATATTAGTCTCCTTGGATTCTATAGAGTTTATTCCCAGATAAACTTTTTGGATATAACAAATGAAAGCTGAATGCAATCATGTTTATCCAAGTGATCAGAAAAAAGGCAATTGATACATTTTTTTCCAATAGGATTGGGAGCTTTATCTTACAATATATCCCCTTTTAAAAATCTGTATATTTTATGTTTATAATAAGCTGTTTTGTAAACATCTTCATTGAAATAGGACTGCATAGAGAGTATTAATAAGAGAGGTGAAGAAGAATGGCAGATTGATCAGTTAACAGAAAAGGATGGTGGAAAATATACATGTGTAAAAACAATTCTTCATGCAGGAAAGAAATATAACAGCACAAGTACCACCAATTTAAATGTTAAAGGTGAGGATGTGTAAAATTGTTAAATGACTTGGTACCATAGTCAGTGGTGTTCTTGCTCTAATGTGGAATGTTTGAATTTTAGTAAATTATGAAGTAATGGAGAACTCAGGAAAACACAACACAGAGAAAGACTTTCAATTCTCTTATGTTTATGGATTACCGTTGTTTAAGCTGTCCATGCTTATATATGTATTGGCTAGTAATGAAAGCTGTGCTGGAGAAAACAGAAGCCCAATAGATGACTGTGCACACACATAGGGTCTTCTAACAAGTCCTCTGTACAACCCTTCATTTTTATCTCATGCCAGCAGCTCTCTATCAGAAATTATCTCTACTTCAAGTCCTTCATGCTTGTTGGTTGTATAACTGAACGAAATAAGTCTTATTGCTTGATACAGGTAGTCTTTGACTTATGACCATAATGGAGTCTGCCCATTACTGTCAAGTGAATGTCATAAAATGGGTCATCACGTGATTGGTCCCAATGTTACAACCTTCTTTGCAGTGGTCATTAAGCAAATGTGGTAGTTGTAAAATGAACACCGTGGTTGTTAAGTGAACCCAGTGTTTACTATAGGGCATTTCTGCTGAAAAATGGAAGTAAATATTGGTTTTTGGAAAAAAAACTGTCATAAATCATGGTCATGTGACCATGGGACACTGCAAATTGTCCTAAATTATTCCCAAGTGGCTGAAATGTAGTCATGTGACATAGGTGGGCATTGTCACAACATTAGAACTGGGTCAAAGTGGATCTTAAGTAGCAACCATACATAAGTTGAGGACTCCCTGATATCAGCTTACTTGATCCTATGTATACATGCCACTAACATGGTTTTTACATTATATGCAATGTATCGTACTTCTATTTTGCATATGGTATTAGATGACCATCATACTGAAAATCATTCTGCTGTACTGGATACTCCTCTCCTTAGAAAGGAAAAATCAGCTATATATAATTCTGAGAATACCTCCTAATGACAGAAGAACATTTTCACAGATGATTGTTGCCTTTGGCAGAATCAATATGAAATCATGACATCATCACTTTCTGGTGGCTGATTGATTTATTTATTTCTGCCTCAGTTATGAAATCTCAGAAAAGGGATCTCCCATTTGAATACTGATCCTTAGCATGGTTTGTGGAAAACTGTCTTTATATTGACTGGAGTATTTGCCTCAGCTTCCCTCAAGCTGACAATCATTGTTTTCAAGGCAAAAGGAGAATAATGGTTTGACAGCTTAGCTGGTAATCCATATAACTAATGTGTTATCACAAGGGTCTCCAAACTTGGCAATTTTGAGAGTTATGAACTTTAACTCCTAGAATTCCCTAGCCAACATGGCTGACTGAGGAATTCTGAGAGTTGAAGTCTACAAGTCTTGAAGTTGCGATGTTTGGAGACCTCTGTGCTATCACATAACTAAAAATATAGAAGGGAGCAGTTCCCTGTGTCTTCTTTCCTTTTGTATGGAGTAGATGTGAGGATATTGAAATAGTAGTGCTGTAGTATATCTTAAATCCAATTAATTTAAAAACTGTCTTCAAGGACCAATATAAGAATTTTGTAATTATTGGTAAGAAGCTTGAAGTAAAGAAATGAGACATCCTATGTTAGCAAATGAATGGCTAGGAATCTTAAAATATTTGATATGTTTCATTATCTTAATATTGGAGGTAAATACACAAAATAATATTTTTCACTGAGCACATCAGAGAATGTTTAAAAAGGATTCTATGTAAACCTCATTGTGCTTTTCCATTTCACATCACTCCCTTTATTGGCTTTGGACAGTCCAAAATCATGTTTTTAAATGAAAAATAATCTTTGATTAATTGGCCAATTCACTTAAAAACTGAAAAAAATGTTACCATTTATCATCATGCTGGCCTTTAGGAAAATTAGTTTAAGTAATACTCTTTTCTCTTCTTAAGGTATTGAAGAAAATGTCCCAAAGCTAATTGGATCTGCTTATAATGTTTTCAAAACTGAAATAGGTACTTCTCTTTATTATTAATTTGTGATGATATTTGACTATATTATCAACAAGTGGGCCTTTTCAAAAGCTGGCTGTATATATTGTCTTTAAAATATCATAGATTTTTCTGTACTTGGGCTAGAACAGGAGTCCCCAACCCCTGGTCCGTGGACTGGTACCAGGCCACGGCATGCCAGCAACTGGTTCGCACAAACAAGCAAAGCCCCGCCCGCAGGCAGCACACAAAACCACACCCCCTCCAGTCTGCAGAAAAATCTCTCTCCACATAACTGGTCCCTGGTGCCCAAAAGGTTGGGGACCTCTGGGCTAGAATAATATTACTATATTATATTACTAAATATAAACCAAGTAATGATATTTCTTGGTTTATATTTAAATCCAGAATTTATTCCTCAGACTCCACACTGCTTCTAAAAGAGTAGAGTAAGAACAGAGCATTTAGAAACAACTGGTTGGAATGCCTTTGAAAAAATTGTAAAGAGAAATAATTAATGGTACTTTAATTTAAATAATTAGTTATTTTTCTTGTCAAAGAACATGCCTGTATCTACTGTCAATTTTTAAAGCAGCTGGTTTCTGAGATTTCAGGTCATCCAGGAGCTTTAGCTTTCTAGCAGTTTTATAGTTCTGTTGTTCATAGCATGTAAACTATTTTTTTTTTTACCATATTCATGTTTAAGGTGTAATGTGCAGGATAGTGGTATACAACAATTTTTAGCTACTGTATTGTAGTTGTACTATGAGAAAATATTTTTCTGAAATTTTATAAAACTTAATGTACCTCAATACCCTTCAGTACCTTCCCTCTTTTAGAATAAAAGAGTCAAATAGAAGAAACAGTGGTATCAAAACATTGTTGGCAAGTCCTATGATACATAGATAAATGTATTTCATAACTAATGATTATAGAAATAGAATTCTAATATTTTCAGTTTGAAGTGCCGGTGAAGTGAACATTTTTTCAAATTTCCAATTTCTTATTTGTTGTTATTTGTAGTTGTTAAATTTTATTAAAATATATCAGCAAGTCAGGAATTCTAGCAGGTAGGAAATATGTATTGAAGCAAGGCTGTTAATGATTTCAAATTTAATTCTGAAGAGGATTAAAAGAGAGAATATTTCTTTCATTAAAATTATTAATTTTAAACAAATATTTCTGTTAGGTAAAGAGGAAATCCTAAATTGCACAGCGTTTTTAGGTTATTCGAACTTTGTTGAAGTCCAGTATGACCTTTATTGGATCGTGCATGATGATATTATAGAAAAATGTCAGAATAATAATTCCCTGTGTCAAAAGGAGGAATGCAAATAGTAAGTACTATTTATAACCAAACATTATGTACCTACAATATGTTGTTACACTTGTTTGATAATTAGATATGCATGCAGTTCCTTGACTTATGACCACAATTGAGCCCAAAATTTTTGTTGGTGAGACATTTGTCAAGTGAGTGTTGCCCCATTTTGCGACCTTTCTTGCCACAATTGTTAAGTGAATCACCGCAGTTGTTAAGTTAGAAACATGATTGTTAAGTGAATCTGGTTTCCCCATTGACTTTGCTTGTCAGAAGTTTGCAGAAGGTGATCACATGACTCTGACTTTTTCAGTGCCATTATTACTTCTAATGGTCACTACATGAACTGTGGTAAGTTGAGTACTACTTGTATTTTAATTTTCTTTGGTAAGTCTTGCAATGTGATCTACTATGACTGAGATCCAATATAATCAAATGGCGTATTTTGCACTATACAAAAATAATTAATAGTCCTATTCTTTGGAGAGGAAGTTACAACTCTTTCCTCATTTTTGCCAAATGAAAATTCCATAACATAGGAATGGGACTTTATGGACAGATGAAATTGTTCCCTTTTATATTCATTCATAAAATATAAACCAGCCATTTTTAATAGATGGGAATAATATAGTTATTTAAACTAATCTTTCTATGCTTCAATTCCCTGACAACTTTCTTCAAATACTTTGCACATATATTAGAATTGCAATCTTTGGAATTCATACTATGGGTGTTAGAACTTTAAGTAATGAGAAGTTTAAGTAGTAAATAGATATGGAACTTTAAATTGTCAGTAGTACAGCTTTCCAAGAGAAAGTTCCTGTATAAAGAAAATAATTTAAGGTATATATTTCCAATATTAACAAACTGGTCAACAGAAGAACTGCCCTTCACATAATTGGAAACTTCCGAAATCCTTCTAGATACATCAAATGCCTGAAAAAGAGAGCAGGAGTCAGACTACCTTTTATGACTGAAGACTAAATCAATTAATTGCATTCAATAAGCTCTCTTCTTCAGTTTATTTAAAAGTAAAATCCCTTGAATTCTTTGAGGTTTTCTCCAGAGTAAATGCTAATAGGATTGTTATTGTATAATTTCCCCTTTCTTAACAGTAATGAAAATGGGAAAAAATATGTTATGAGACAACTGTCAGAATCCAATTATACTTCATCTCCAGTTATCAATTATAGAAAACCCCATTTCTGCCCTCTCTGGATTCTGTCATAAAGAAAGAGAGGGGGGTGAACAAAGGGGCTTTATGGCCCTCACTTCCTTTGGTACAACTTCAAAGGGTTTGAATGTGGTTAGCACCAAAAGGCCTTATCATAACAAAGGAGGCTATTTACCTTTCATGTAGTTTATCTGAAGTCTCCATCCAGCCGGAAGAAAGGAAAAAAGGGGTGGGATTGTGATGCCTGAAACTGTCACTGGAAGAGGGGGGTGATTGGGTGGGACTACTGGGGAACCCCTTAAAACCTCGAATGGGAGAGCTTGAACCCCAAGTCCTGTCTAGAACGCCTGCAACCATTTTCTCTTAATAAAGGATTCCTGTTGGAAGAATTGTTCCAAGAGTTCTGTCTTCTTAAGATGCAAAGTGGGGTGGGTCTTTACATTAGACAGGACTTGCGAAATTAATCCACCTGGAAGGGAGACCCTTGCCGGGGGATTTTGCAAAAAATTACCATGTCAGACAATGGAGCAAGAAAGGGGGAAAACTCCCTGGAAAGAGAGCCGCTGACCAAATTGGAACCTTGCCAGATGTTGGAATCCGAGAGGTCAGATTCCTCAGGAGAAGAAGTGGTGGAGACACGGGACCACAAGCCTCGCTGGTCAATGGGCGTTGGAAAGAAAAGTGAGTGGGGAAAGGAATCAAGAAAGGTGACCCTGAGACGGGGGACCAAGCAACCAGAATGGAAGCAGGAGATGGAGAAATCCCTGCACACAAGTGAAGAGGGAGGAAGCTGGGCACCGTACTCAGACTGGATCCTAGAGAAAGCTATTGACCTGATGAAGAGAACTCTCAGCTCCCTAAGAGAGGAGGATCCTGAGCCCTACGGCTCCCCCAGCTCCTGGAGCCGCAAAGGGAGAGACACCGAGGGGGACGTGGAACCTGCAACCCCGGGGACATCTACTGATCCAGCAGTCCCCACCCCCTACCGGACCACAGATGGCAATCTGGACGGAAGACACTACCACCAACAACGGAGGCACCGATCCATCCCAAGACGTCCACCATTGGAGGTGAAATTCAAAGGGGAGCCAACACACTTGGAGTTTTTCCTAACCCAAGTCCTCAGCTACATGGAGGAATATGGGCAGGACATTCCCAGCGACAAAGCCCGCATCCGGATCGTGCAATCTGCCCTGGATGGACCGGCTGCAAATTGGGTGATGAACTTGCATGACTCCAATGCCCCAGAACTCAGTAACTTCAACCATTTCATGTCCTCTTTGAGAAGATGATTTGAAGACCCCCTGGCTGATCGCAAAGCCCGTGAAAGGATAAAAACGATGAGGCAAGGCAAACGCCCGGTGGCTGAATATACACAAGAATTCCGGGCCATTGCCAGCAAACTGAATTGGCCAGAAGACATCCTCCTTAGCCATTTCAAAGACGGACTAAATTATGATCTATATGACGCTTGCCTGCCCCAAGGGGACCCACACCAACTTGAGGAATGGTACATCTTGGCAGAGGAAGCAGAGATCGACATATTGAAGAGACACCGCCGAGGAAAACAATGGAGCCGCCCCCCGCCTGAGCTGACACACGAACCGGTGAAATCATCGGCTACAGCCAAGAAGCAAATGGGGTGTTTCAAGTGCGGAAGAGAAGGGCATCGATCTGTAGAATGTCGCTCCAAAGCCCCCCAGCACAACCCAGACAGATCTCCAATCAACAAATATCGGAAAGTCTTCAGCTAAGCCAAAAGAAACTGCCATGAGAATGATGGAAATTGCGGAACCCCCCACTGCTCACCAAGGGGAAAGAACTCCAGCCTACACCACAGGGGATGCCTCAATGACAGCTCCCAAGACAGTGACTATATTAATCCCCCCCATGCCCCGAAGCCTTAATAGACTCTGGCTGCACCCGCTGCCTCATTAGCCCAACACTAGTGGGGAATCTGGGCATCCCATCCAGGAGACTGGAACAACCAATCTCATTTGGCCAGTTAGATGGATCCATAGCAGGGGGGGTGCCAGCTACCCTAGCCACTCTACCAATACACCTCTCCCTGGGCAAACATGAAGAGGACATAACGTTTGTGGTGACCCCAGGCATGGAATGCCCAATGATTCTAGGGATGGAATGGTTGAAAAAATGGAACCCCTGGGTAAATTGGAGGACGACAGAAATCAAATTCCCGAAGGGGGACCCTATGGACTTAAAACCCCAAGGGAGGCTACCAGAATCAAGAATAGAAAAAGCATCCATAGGAGAGGAAAAAAGATTAACAGAAATACCAGAGGAATATAGGGACCTTGCTGAAGTCTTCAGTGAGGAGAGGGCGAATGAGCTTCCCCCCCACCGACCCACAGACTGTACCATTGAATTCAAGCCTGGGGCAAAACTCCCGAAGCCCAGATTATACTCCATGAGCCCAAAGGAGAAGGAGGAAATGGAAAGATTCATTAAAAAAAAACCTAGAGAGAGGTTTCATTGAGCCAGCCAAGCCTAAAGTGGCTGCCCCGGTCCTTTTTAGAGAGAAGAAGGATGGCTCTTTACGTTTATGCATGGATTATAGGGCCCTGAATACAATCAGTGAAAGCAACCTATACCCTCTACCCCTCATGAAAGACATGCTGTCACACCTATAGAAAGGGAAAAAATTTTCTAAACTAGACCTAAGGGAAGCTTACTATCGCGTGAGAATTAAGGAAGGGGACGAATGGAAGACTGCATTTAACTGCCCCATGGGGTGCTATCAATTCAACGTCTTGCCATTTGGATTACAAGGGGGCCCTGCAGTCTTTATGCAATTAATCAATGACGTTCTAAGGGAGCACCTGTTTAAGGGGGTCCTTGTTTACTTGGATGACATTCTTATCTTCACCGAAACAAAAGAGGAACATGTCAACCTTGTCAGAGCGGTTTTAAAGAAGCTGCGAGCCACCCACCTATATGCCAAACTCTCAAAATGCGAATTCCAACAGGAAAGGATAGACTACCTAGGTTATCGCATATCCCCCCAGGGCATTGAAATGGACCCAGAGAAGGTCAAGCAGTATTAGATTGGGCACCACCCTGCACAAGAAAGCAACTACAAAGTTTCCTGGGCTTTGCAAACTTTTACCGCCAATTCATCCCCTCATTTGCCCAGATAGCCTTGCCCCTCACTAACTTACTAAAAACGAAGGGAGCATCCTCAGTAAAACCTAGCCAGCCACTAACATGGACAATGGAGTGCCAAGCAGCATTTGAGAGACTAAAGAGACTTTTTTCTGCCGAACCAGTACTAAGGCACCCAGACATGGACAAGCCCTTCATAATACAGGCAGATGCAAGTGATGTGGCAGTGGGGGCTGTTCTATTACAAGAAAATGATGAGGGGTATTGCAACCCTGTGCATATACATCCAAGAAACTCACGGAAACAGAACAGCGCTGGCCCGTATGGGAGAAGGAGGCTTATGGGATACGTTGGGCATTACTCACGTGGCGACAGTTCCTGGAAGGCAACAAAATCCCCTTCCAGGTGTGGACTGATCACAAAAATTTGGAAGCCCTGAAAACTGTCCAGGAAACTCAATCCCAAACAAGCCCGCTGGTCCCAGCATTTTCACCAGTTCCAATTTAAGCTCAAACATTTACCAGGAAGAAAGAACTTCCTGGCAGATGCACTATCTCGCATGCCCCAATATAACAGCGCACGAACCACAGACTCTAGACCAGTGGTTCTCAACCTTTCTAATGCCGTGACCCCATAATACAGTTCCCCATGTTGTGGTGACCCCCAACCACTTATACATCACCGGGTGCCAGGGGCGTGGCCAAAGAAAAGAGGGAAAAATGGCGGACGGCCTTGTTTGGTGACCCCCGTGAAATGGTCGTTCGACCCCAAATGGGGTCCCGACCCACAGGTTGAGAACCACTGCTCTAGACCAATGATGGCAGAGTCACAACTGGCAGCACCAGCAACCACAAGAACCCAAGCCAAATTAAAACCACAACTGGACAGCCAAATTGGAATTGAATTCAGAAAAAGTTTGGAAACAGATGAATGGTTCCAGAAAAACAAAAATGTGTGCACAATGAGAGACGGGTTGCCTTGGGTAGGGGAAAAGTTATATATACCAACAACTCAAAGAGTCATTTTCATGCACCTTTGCCATGACACAAAATCAGCAGGGCATTTTGGATTTGTAAAAACTTTACATTTAATTAAACGTCCATGAAAAAGGACATAGAAAGTTATATAGCCAGTTGTCCAAAATGTGCCACGGCAAAGAGGTTGCAAGGGAAATAAGAACTGCCCTTTACATAATTGGAAACTTCCAAAATCCTTCTAGATACATCAAATGCCTGAAAAAGGGAGCAGGAGTCAGACTATCTTTTATGACTGAAGACCAAATCAATTAATTGCATTCAATAAGCTCTCTTCTTCAGTTTATTTAAAAGTACAATCCCTTGAATTCTTTGAGGTTTTCTCCAGAGTAAATGCTAATAGGATTGTTATTGTATAATTTCCCCTTTCTTAACAGTAATGAAAATGGGAAAAAATATGTTATGAGACAACTTTGGTTTAAACGTGTGAAAGAAGAGAACATCAATTGTTCATACAAATGCATCTTTTCTGAAAATGGTTTTGAACAGCAAACATTTATATTGCAAAAAGGTATTGTACAATTTAATCTAGTATAAAAATTAATTTATGTAATACAGGTGTCTACATATGACCCAGAAGTGGTACTAAGTTTAAACTCATATGGGGAAAAATAAACTGTAAAGCCTAAAAAGAATTCTTAGAAAGTGGACAGATAATTTTGGATGTAGCTGATAATAGAACTTGAAAATTATGCAAGGCTAATTACTAGTTGAATTCTATTTTAATCTAAATTTGAGTTTTTGTAGATGTAATTGTTTCAGAGACAGCAAGTTAATGCCCATTAATATCAAACACTTATGGTATCTCTAGATAATAGTCTCATACACTCAGACCCATCTCCTAATGAAATAAAATATATATATTTTAAAATGGCCATAATATTTTGGAATTGTCATTTATGAATTATTTTAATAAGTTGAGCATTCAGATTTCTTAAAAAATGGGAAAGACATCCATATTATTGTACAAAATAATATGATTTTCCTTGGCACCTAAAAAGACCAGCATCTTTGGTTAATTGTTTATATTTTTAAGTATTTCTTTTTTAAAAACTAATGGCATTCTCAGGCCAACTTTGGATGTAAACACTACATAATTCAAAATATTTTATATTCATCTACTTTATCAAGTTGACATATTTATATAAAATAACAATAAGAGATTATAATTTGCTGTTTGTAAATCAGTTATTCATCAGCAATATCGATAAACTCAACCTTAATTATCAAAGTTTTTCAGGTGGGCAATACAGGCTAGAAAAGAAGGTATAAACATATTTGTTGATAATTCTTGGAAATAATAAAAAAGGTCTTTCTGTGAATATCTTTCTTAGCAGACAAAAAAATTAGCTGGTTTCTAATTTGGGACTAGCATTCTTGTACTTATATATAAAATTCAAAATTGCCTAAAATTGATTTTTATTCTATACTATCTAGAATGAGTGTACTTGTTTGCCTCCAGTTATCTGCCAATGTCCCTATAATTCATTTATTTATTTGTAAAATTTATTAGCTGCCCTTCTTGCCAAACGGTACTCTGAGTAGCTTACAATATTAAAAGATAAAACTGCATAATGTATAATAATATACTATGAATAATCCTCCTTTCTGGTTCTGTTTTTAAGGATTGTTTTACATAAATGAGGCTGGGAAGTGGTCTGTGAGAAGGAGATCTTGAGAGACAGGGTGAAGAAATGTTGCTGAGGGACTGGTCAGATAAGAGAGGGCATAATGGAGAGTGGGTAGAGAAAGATGCTCAGAAGCGACCTTCCCTAGCTTCTCAGGCTGTAAAGGAGATGGTCGAAGATTTCTACTTTCTCACTTGCAAGATTTTGTTAATATAGCCTTACAATTAATTTGACTCATCTGTCATGTTTTCTGTTTGGTCTCCCTGGAAAGGCTGATAGACTTATAGACAATTTGAACTCCAGCTGGCAAAAAATTGGCTTGATACTTCATTGTATAAAGGATAATTGAGAATGGATAAAGCCTTCTAAGTATCCCCTAAAAGTGCTCTGCACCTCTGTTTGAATTTGACAACATTTAGTTGCTTCTTTAATGCCAAATAGTGACCTTAAGTGAGTGAAAGCAGATGGATTTTCTAGTTCTGAATTTGTAAGTTATGTTAAGGTTACTTAATAATAGATAAATTATTTCATAACTTTATAGGCTGTAAGAATATTTTTCTATTTTAGGCTGTAAGAATATTTTTCCTTTTTTTTCTATTTTAAGATAGAAGTACAAAATATTATTACCTATATTTCTGTCCCAAAGCATACTAGACAGGCATTTGGCTAGAAAATATTTTAACTTCTTGTGATTATTAGAGAAGCTTGCCTCCCTGAGCAATAATTTATTATCTTCTTTTTTTCTTCCTAGAATGTAATCCAGATTTACCAGTTCATGCTTTTACTGCTGGAATGATAATGGCCATAATATTTTCCTTTATTGCTGTAATGATGGTGATTCTCTGTGTAATATTCAAGATTGAGCTTATTTTATTGTTCAGAGATATAACGGGAAAAGATGAAACACTGGGAGGTAAAATGATTGGTTTGACTTAATAAAAAATAGTGTTGATTGAAATCCATAAATATCAAAGGGGAAGAAAGAAGAAATTGTAACTTCTTCACTTTTCATTATTACAGTCTTTCTCTGTTCTGAAAGAAGATAGAAATTAAGGATATAGAGTTGTTTTTTTGAAGTAACACAGATACATAATTGTTTTACAAGTCTCCAAAATTAGAAATTATTGATTCTGTTCACTTTGTTTCTGCCTTCCTTTAGCTCACCATTTAATACGGAGTAAACAATCTTTATTTGATTGTTTGATAAATAAAATACCGTAAATGCCGGCGTACAAGGCGACCCGGCGTATAAGACGACCCCCGTCTGTCGCCGAGCCGCATTCCTAGAACGTCGTCTTATATGCCAGAAACTACCAGTATTTCTGGCATATAAGACGACTCGGCATATAAGACGACCCCCGTCTTTGGCGCCGATTTTAAAGCTTGCGGAAGTCGCTTTATACCCCAGCATATACAGTAAATACAGAATAAATAAATGCTGTTTAGCCAATTGTACAAGGGAATAGGAGACCCTGCCTGAATGTTATTCCTATGAGTGATTATGTCAGAGAAGTACATTGACTCTGTGTATTAATTATTTATAGATGGAAAACTGTATGATGCTTTTGTGTCTTACCTGAAAGACTGTACACCAATATGTGGTGAAGAGAGAAAATTTGCTCTGGAGATACTACCTAAAACATTAGAAGATCATTTTGGATATAAGTTATGCATTTTTGAACGAGATATTTCTCCTGGAGGAGGTAGGTAGATGGGATAAATAATCATTGAATACACTTGTTATGTTTGCTGTTTGTTGCGGCATTGAAGAGGCAGCAGGTGAAACAAAACTCTCTTTATTGCAAAGGCAAAACCGAAACTGGAAAGCACATGTTCCATCCCTATTTATACATTCAGCATAGGAGGCGCAACCAATAAGATCACAGTATTCTCCTACTCAATTGCCTAACAAGTAGGCTGCAGACAGAAAGTCTGGCTTGCTGGCCATGTGGCATGCTAACTGTTACTACACAGTTCAAGCACCCAATTTCTTAATTTTAACTCAATACATTACACCCCTTCCCCCTGGATCATTTACACTTACAAACCTTGCTTGTTTGTGTAACACCACAGATAATCAAGGCATAATAATATACATAAGCATGACATTACGCTATTCCAGTAACAAGAATACTTAAGCATTTAAGTTTTCAAGAAAACACATAAGCATTCAAGATTGCAAGGACAATATATAAGCCTTTAAGTTTGCAATGGAAAATACATAAGTATTCAAGTTTGCAACAACAAAAATCTTATGTAGTCTTTTAAGTATTTCGGCGGCCCTTTGCCTGCTTCAAATGTCTCGGAGCTGCTGCTAGCTCCCAATCTGCAAGCTCGCCTGCCAGGCTCGGCAGACTGGGGCTTTGTGACCCATCCGACATGGGTAGAGCCAATTCTTGAAGGCTGGTCTGTTTCGGTAGACCCAAGTCTGTGTCTATTTCTCTGTGGCTGGCCTGTTCTGGTAGGCCTGAGCCAGTGTTCCTCGGTGAGGTAGAACCCACCGGATCAGCGTGAAAAGCCTTTTGAGGAGCCAATTGTTGGCAATGTCCTGTGCATACAGTGCCTGAGTTAGGAGCAGCCTTGTTTGCAAAAACCCCGTTTGGCAATCACAAGGTCTCGTTTCTGCTGGGACACCCAAATTCATGATCACAATCATGTTCCTCCTCCCCCTGAGCAGAGTCATGAGCAGAAGGATGGTTTGGCAGCCTCCGTCGCAGCTGGTCAATGTGCCTTATTTATTTATTTATTTATGAGACTTATATACCGCTTTAAGTGCAAGCACTCTCTAAGCGGTGTACACCAGTAAGCAATGTATATATATATATATTTACATTGCCCCCAACAATCTGGGTCCTCATTTTACCTACCCCAGAAGGATGGAAGGCTGAGTCCACCTTGAGCCGGTGAGATTTGAACCGCTGACCTGCTGAACACAGTCAGCTAAAGTGGCCTGCAGTACTGCACCCTAACTGCTGCGCCACCTCGGCGCCTTCGAAGCACTCGAGCATCTTCCAGGGCCACTTCGTATGAGAACGGCCCTGACACCTTGTAAACCACAACTACCACCCACAGTGCCCCTTGCCCGTAGTTCCATGCCCACACTGGGTCACCCTTTTGCAAGTGCCTTGGTGCCTTAGGCTGCTGCACTTGTGAAGCAACCCTGTCTGGATGTAAACCAGTGGTTCTCAACCTTTCTAATGCCGCGACCCCATAATACAATTTCCCATGTTGTGGTGACCCCCAACCACTTATACATCGCCGGGTGCCAGGGGCATGACCGAATGGGTGTGGTCAAGTGGGTGTGGCCCCCAAGTGGGTGTGGCCACTGAGTGGGCGTGGCAAGAAAGACAGCCCCGGCCACCATTAATGCTGTGCTGCCGCTGCATGTATTTTAATGCATGTTTACCCTGCCTTTAAATGTGGGACCAAAATTTACAGAAAGTTAGTAAATAATAAATAAGAACGGGCTGCTTTCATTTGAACCATAGATTATAGTGGGGACCTGGAGGGATTTTCTTTCACTGAAGATGAAAGAAAGTATATGAAAGCGAGGGAATAAAAAGCAAAGCAGAAAGGAATAAGAAGAGTGAGAAATGGCATGGAGGTTATAGGTTTCGTGGATCAGAAATAAACAAAACAATTAAATCAGTTTTAAGAGAATAAATGGCAACAAATGGAAGATTCAAACTAGTTTTAAGGGAATAAAAGGAAATAAATGGAAGTATTAAACCACTTTAAACAATAAATGGAAGAATCAAAGCAGTTTATAAGCAGTTTATGAAGGGGAAGGGATGGAGATGGAGATGGAAGGAAGGAAGAAAGGAAGGAAGATTGAAGGGGAAAGGAAGGAGATGGAGAAGGAGAGGAGATTGAAGGGGAAGGGATGGAGATGGAAGGAAGGGAAGGTTGAAGGGGAAAAGGAAGGAGATGGAGAAGGAAGGAGATTGAAGGGGGAAGGAAGGAAGGAAGGACAGCGATTGAAGGGGAAAGGAAGGAGATGGAGAAGGAAGGAGATTGAAGGGGGAAGGAAGGAAGGAGAGAAAGATTGAAGGCGAAGGGATGGAGATGGAAGGAAGGAAGAAAAGGAAGATTGAAGGGGAAAGGAAGGAAATGGAGAAGGAAGGAGATTGAAGGGGAAGGAAGGAAGAAAGGAGAGAGAGATTGAAGGGGAAGGGATGGAGATGGAAAGAAGGAAGGAAGATTGAAGGGGAAAGGAAGGAGATGGAGAAGTAAGGAGATTGAAGGGGAAAGGAAGGAGATGGAGAAGGAAGGACATTGAAGGGGGAAGGAAGGAAGCAAGGAAGGAGAGAGAGATTGAAGGGGGGAGGCGCTGCCAAGGACACACAAGCAGCTCCGCACAATTCCCCGGGGAGGGAGGAGGCTCTGGCGGAGACCCAAGCAGTGGCACATCCGGGGCCTCGGAAGCACGGAGGATCCGCGTGCCTCGGAACCGCCGGCTGCCCTCTCACACCTGCACAGGGACCTGGAGCAAGATGACCTGCTGGTTCTCCGAGGGGTGGGATTTGTTGATATGGTGGGTGAGGCTTGGCAAGCTGTAAAATGTTATCGGGCAGTATTTGCAGGGGAAGGCCTGGGCGGCATGGAGCACGTGCAGGTGACGCTCCTGACCGCTCTTACTGGGGATGATCTCCCCGCACACTGGGCAGAGGTGGCACTCCCCAGACAAGGTCAGCGGGCTGTGGCTATCTGGCGCCGCCTCTTCCAGACAGGCCTCGGGAAGCGGGCGAGCCTGGGATAAGCCGTCCAGGGGCTCGTGGTGGAGCGGCAAGTGCTTACACAGAGTGCTCTGGTGTCAGAAGCGCTTGGTGCAATGCGGACAGGTGAATTCCTCAGCTCTGGCAGCCTCCGTTCTCCGCTGCTGCTGCCCCCACTGCTCCCGGGACTCGGCATATCCTGCTCGCTGCTGCTACTACTGTTGCCACTGCTGCCACCCCCTCCCTTGGCAGTCTCCTCTGGAACAGGCTTGGTCTTGGTCGGCGCACCGGCGACGTACTTGCCTCGTCCTCGAAGTGCAACTTGCGGGTTGCCTTAGCCTTTCTGCCCTAAGACCGCTTTGGTGTGCCTGGGCTTGGCCCATGGCTGTGCTGAGGGGCAAGCGGCAGGCCAGAAGTGATGGCGGCGGCAGCAGCGACTGCCCAAAGCTTGAAGTCTCCTCTAGGGCCCAAGAGTAATGGTTCGGGTGCCGGGGAGGACTTGGCTGAGACGGGAGAGGCCAGGTGGAGGCTACGTTCCTTGCTCACTGCTCGTGCTGGACTGTGCAGCGGCACCAGCGAAGAGGGGCCCTCCGGCATCCCAAAATGCGGCACCATGGGCACAGGCAGAAGTGCCGCTTTGGCAGATTCCAAGGCAGAAGCCGCGCTGGGGAAGTGAGGGGCGGGAAAAGGTGGAGGAACCAAGAGCTACACCAGATCGCCTCCTTCCAACCCAGCGGCCGGGTAGCAGGAGCAATGCGTCCGGTAAGAGATGGGCATAGGTCTGCTACTCCTTTTTACCAAAAAGCTCCGGGGCATCCTCAGGCAGCTCCGGAAGGCATCTGCAGCTGGTGATGCTGCTGCCTCAGTCTCTGAGCGGCAAGCACGGTTCTAGCATCCAGCTAGTCCTTCTTCGACCACCCCACCTTCCCTCCGTCAGCTGAGCCAAGTGGGAGAAACAGAAGTGGTGGTGGAGGAGGAGGCCTCTCTTGCTTTCTGCCGCTTGTTCTCTCTCGCTTTCTGCCACGTACTCTGAAACCGAAGCTTCCTTAGTTTATATAGAAAAAAGCTGTGCATGCGCAAAGAGGAGGGAGGCAGGAACGGCTTTGCGTGCCACCTGTGGCACTTTCAAAAGCCAATAATGGAGTAGCACAGCTAAGGAAAAGGGGAAAAAATGGTGGACTGCGTTGTTTGGCGACCCCCGTGAAATGGTTGTTCGACCCCAAATGGGGTCGCAACCCACAGGTTGAGAACCACTGATGTAAACGGTCCAGCTTCGTGATCAAGCGTCGCCCCCATCTTAACTCATTTGGCCTTTTGCCCATAGAAGTGTAGGGTGTTGTGCATTGGCAGAGTAAGAAATCTGCCAACCTATGGTGCCAGTTGCCAGTTGCAATCTTCTTCAAGGTTTCCTTGGTCGTTCTGACCATACGCTCTGCTTGGCTGTTAGAGCCCGAGTGAAAAGGAGCCGAAATGGCATGCCTAATCATATTCGCCCTTAGAAAGGACTGAAACTCTGCAGAAGTAAATTGAGCCCCATTGTCTGAGACTATGACATCTGGGAGCCCATGTGTTGCAACGATGCTGTGCAGAACCTGGATGGTCCTGGCAGTAGTCATAGTGGAAACTGGAGCAACTTTTAACCACTTGGAGTGGCTGTCCACAACTATGAGGAAAAGTTGCCCCTGAAAGGGGTCTGCAAAATCAATATGAATCCTCGACCATGGGGCTTGAGTGGTTTCCCATCTGTGGACTGGGGCATGTGGCATTTCTGGCCTCGACTGCTGGCAAATGAGGCAGCTGTGGACCTGGGCCTCGATATCTTTATCAAGCCCAGGCCACCAAAAGTAGCTGCATGAGAGTGCCTTCATCCGGACTATTCCTGGATGTCCCTCATGCAGAGAATCAAGGATTCTAGCCCTCAGTGAGGTCAGGATTACAAACCGGCTGCCCCATAAAATACAACCCTTATGAGTGGATAACTCATTCTTCTTTTTCCAAAAACTCTGAAAGTTAGGGCCCGGACACTTTTCAAGCCATCCTGTGAACACCCAGTTCAACATGCGGCTCAGCGTGTTGTCTGAAGCTGTTTCAGTAGCTACATCCCCTGCATTAAGGGGAGACTCTGGCAAATCCTGGATAGCCAGGATATGGTTAATTGGAGCTGGAGCTGGTTCTAATAGCTGTAGAGGCAACCTACTAAGGCCGTCTGTGGCCCATTTCTTTACCCGGTTTGTGAACCAGACAATAATTGTAAGCTGATAGGAATATTGACCACCTCAACATCCTAGGAGAAATAATCTGGAGTGTTTGTTTGTTCATAGTGAACAACCCCAGAAGAGGCTTGTGATCTGTGAAGACCACAAAATGCAGTCATACAAATAGTCATGGAACTTTGGTATACCTGCCACTATGGCCAATGGCTCCCTATCAATCTGTGCATAATTGCATTCTGTTGAAGAGAGTTCTAGAATAATAGGCTATGGGAACTTGTGTTCCATCAGCCCGAAGATGGCTTAACACAGCTCCGATCCCGTATGGAGATGCATCACAAGCAATGCTGATTGGAAGCTGTTCATTGAAATGAGTTAACACTGCATTTGATGATAACAGTGCTTTAACTGGTGCAAAACTCTGCTTGTGGACACTCGTCCACTTCCATTGGGCCTTCTTGTCCATGAGCCGTTGTAACGGCTCTGCCACTTTGGCCTTGTGGGGAAGGAAGGTGTGATAAAAATTAAGGAGTCCCAAAAAGGCCTGAAGTTCTCCTTTTGTCTTGGGACTGGATGCCTGCTGAATTGCTTTAAGCTTGGATTCAGCAGGATGAATGCCTTTGGCATCTATACGAAACCCAAGGAATTCTGTGGAAGTAACCCCAATTTTATATTTTTCCTGCTTGAGTTTCAGCCCCGCTTCGCAGAACCACTGCAAGACTGCCCTGAGATGGTCAGTGATGTTTTTGACTGATTCCCCTGCTATGGGGACATCATTGAAATACGGGCACACACCCAGAATGTTGCGGAGCATGTGCTCCATTACGCTCTGAAAAATGCCCGGGGCTACACTAACCCTGAACTATAATCACTGCACCTTGAAAGCTTCCCTGTGGGTTACTATGGTCTGGGCCTCAGCTGTGGCGTTGTCCACCGGCAGCTGCTGATAGACCCGGGCCAAATCTAATTTGGCAAAAATGCGACCTCCCTGTGTTGTTGTTGTTGTTAATTGCGAAGTCATTTCCGACCCATCGCAACCCCATGAACAATGTTCCTCCAGGTCTTCCTGTCCTCTACCATCTTCTGGAGTCCATTTAAGTTCACACCTACTGCTTCAGTGACTCCATCCAGCCATCTCATTCTCTGTCGTCCCCTTCTTCTATTGCCCTCAATCTTTCCCAGCATTAGGCCCTTCTCCAGTGAGTCCTTCCTTCTCATTAGGTGGCCAAAATATTTGAGTTTCAACTTCAGGATCTGGCCTTCTAAAGAGCAGTCGGGATTGATCTCTTCTAGGACTGACCGGTTTGAACGCCTTGCAGTCCAAGGGACTCGCAGGAGTCTTCTCCAGCACCATAGTTCAAAGGCCTCAATTCTTTTGCGCTCAGCCTTTCTTATGGTCCAACTTTCACAGCCATACATTGCAACTGGGAAAACCATGGCCTGGACTATACGCACTTTTGTTGGCAGGGTGATGTCTCTGCTTTTTAGTATGCTGTCTAGATTTGCCATAGCTTTCCTCCCCAGGAGCAAGCGTCTTTTAATTTCTTGGCTGCAGTCCCCATCTGAGGTGATCTTTGAGCCCAGAAAAATAAAATCTGTCACTACCTCCATTTCTTCCCCATCTATTTGCCAGGAATTGAGAGGGCCGGATGCCATGATTTTGGTTTTCTTAATGTTGAGTTTCAAGCCAACTTTTGCACTCTCCTTCTTCACCCACATCAAGAGGCTCTTTAGTTCCTCTTCACTTTCTGCCATTAGAGTAGTATCATCTGCATATCTTAGGTTGTTGATATTTCTCCCGGCAATCTTAATTCCAACTTTTGTTTCATCTAGCCCTGCCTTTCTCATGATGTGCTCTGCATATAAGTTAAATAGACCTCCCTGTAGGGATGCCAAAATGTGGCTGACTACAGGCACCAGATAGGAGTGCTGCTGTATAGCTTTATTTAGTGTGCATTTATAGTCAGCACAAATGCGAACTTCCCTGTTGGCCTTAAGTGGCGTAACTGTGGGAGTTTCCCATGAACTGTTATCTACCAGCTCCAAAATGCCTTGCTGCAACAGCTTGTCCAGCTCTGCATTGATTCTCTGCTTCAGGGCAAAAAGCACCTGACAAGGCTTTATCCTTATTGGTGCTATTGTAGGATCAAGATGGAGGGCAATTGGGGGACCCTTGTACTCCCCTAACTTAGGGCTGAAAACATCAGCAAACTCTTTACAAACTGCCGAGAGGCTCGAAGTTTGCAAACTATTTAACCCAGTCACTTGAATTCCCAACACATCAAACCAATCAAGTCCAATGAGGCTAGTGTGGTTGCCTTCAACTATTACAACTTCTGGGGGACCCTCAGAGTTCTGAACTGCACCCCGAGTGTGGCCTCCCCTTTGACTTTTACACAGGAGTTTTGGAAATCGGTTAGAATGAGGTTCGACGGCCTGAGCTTAACTCACTTGCTGTTTTGACTACAAATTTGCTGGAGAGTCCTTTCGGAAATTATTGATAAGGCTGATCCCATGTCTAACTCCATGTCAGACGGAACCCCTTGCAACTTGACTTTGAGACGCAACTTTTCCTTGAGTGGGCAATGGGCACCTGTCCTAAACACACTCCTTCTACTAGCGCAATAACCCACCTTGTTTTGCCCGGGCACCCCGGTACCTTTCTGAGGCAACTCTTCTGATGGGTGTTCTCTTCTGTAAACAGAAGATGTGGCCTTGCTTGCCACACACCTGGCAGGTTGCTCTGCGGAACCAGCATTCCGCCCATTTGTGTCAGCCTCCGCACCCAACACATTGAGGAAAGGGAACTGTCTTGTCCATTGGTCGTTGAGGCCTTCTTTTGGGTGGTTGCTGTAACCGATCGACTTTATGGTCCGATTCGGAGTCTTCAACTCTTTCGGTGTTCTCCTGGTGGACGGCCTCTATGCAAGGAGTGTTCTTGGATAGCCATAAGGCCTTGACAGCTCTGCCAGCTGCTTCTTCAGCTGTGATCTCCCACAAGGCATCTTGAAACGATCTTTTGTTGCAGCTTTCAACTCCTTAGTCAACGGTCCCTCAGTCTTTCTTCGAGGTCTTTGAATTTGCAAAGTCGGGCCACTTGACGAAGAGCAGCTATGAAGTTGGCAGCAGACTCGCCGAGGTGTTGGTCTTGGTGTTTGAAGGCGTGCCGCCAGGCAATGACCGATAGCTTGGGCTCAAAGTGTTCTTTGAGCATCTTCTTAAGTTCTGAGTACACAATGGACTCATGTGGTGCTGGTGCAACCAAGTTCTCGGCGATATCAAAAGTCGCCTGGCCACCCACACACAACAGCGTCACGGCCTTCAAACCGTCATCTCGAATTTGATTAACCTGCAGGTAGTTTTCAACTCTTGCGATGTAGGAGCTCTACCTCTATGGATGAGCGATGTCAAGTTCAGAGACTTTTCCTATTTTCGCTATGGTAAGTTTTTCGTGGGCCCTTCAATGCCTCGTGTTGCGTAAGTTTCTGTGGGACTTCCAGGGTGGATCCTTGGAAGCACTCTCCTCCAGCATTTCCATACTGGCAGGCTAGAGTGAGGGGGAGGGGAACTGCCATTGCGACCCAGAGACTCCTAGGCCTAACCCCTGTAGTGACTCAGCTCTTCGGATCAAAGGCAGCATGAGATCCCACCTTCATCGTCAATGTTATGTTTGCTGTTCGTTGCGGCATTGAAGAGGCAGCAGGTGAAACACAACTCTCTTTATTGCAAAGGCAAAACCGAAACTGGAAAGCACATGCTCCACCCCTATTTATAGATTCAGCTTAGGAGGCAGCAACCTATAAGATCACAGTATTCTCCCGCTTAAATGCATAACAAGTAGGCTGCAGACAGAAAGTCTGGCTTGCAGGCCACGTGGCCTGCTAACAGTTACTACACAGTTCAAGCACCCAATTTCTTAATTTTAACTCAATGCATTACAACACTGATAAAATATCTTTTTCTTTTGCTTAAATTTAAAATATACCATCCACTTAGTTTCCTAGAAATAGCACCACTGAGATTTGAGAACACCTTGCTTCTCTTCCTTATATTATTTGTTTGTTTATACTGTTTGTGTATGTGTACATGGGCAGTATGTATATTTGTGTGCATTCGTGTGTGTGTGTACATGTATAGTATGTATGCGTGTGTGTGTTTATGTGTCTGTATCTGTGTTTGCTGTGATTTTGGAGAAAAGTGCTGAAACTCCTGATGAAAAAATAAGTAGGTTTATTATTATTTTTCAAACTTCTTAATGGCAGACAAGCTGAGAATCATATTATCTCTTGGAGGTCACACATGGTTATTTCAAAGTATATATTATGAATATGCAACTTTTCTTTCTTTCTTCAGCTAACTGTAACCATAACCTCTTTTACTTACAGCTATTATTGATGACATCCAATCATCCATTGATAGAAGTCGAAGATTAATTATTATTCTGAGCCAAAACTATGTCTCCGACCAAGTCATGTTCGAGCTAGAAGTTGGACTGCATAAAGCCTTGGTTGAAAGAAAGATCAAAGTCATATTAATAGAATACATGCCAAAAAACTATTTTGATTTCTTGCCCAAGTCTTTGGAACTTCTTTCTTCCAGCCAAGTAGTGAAATGGAAAGAAGAAAAATCACTGCCTTTAAAGTCTAAATTTTGGAAAAAGCTTCGCTATGCCATGCCTGCCAAGCCAACTATTTCAGCTGCTTGTCAAGGGGTAATGTTGCAGGACAAAAGAAAAAGAACAAGTACTTTTGGTATCACTTCTGAGCCATCACTTGCCTGCTACTAGGTCTTCATCATTGCTTGAGATGGCTAAGTGCTGGAAGCAAAACTTGAAATATAAGAAAGTGTCCACAGATACTTGGGAGCAGCAGAATTGAGGCTGCAGGCTTCGGGTTGTCCCACCTGTGTCATTAGGCTTAGTTTCAGTAATATCTTTATATATTGTTTTATTCAGTATGTATATTCCATATTGTTGTCTGTTTTTTTACAAAGTATGTCAAAATCCCAGACTTCTGCCTTACAGATTTATTTGCAAGAGGGGTCCAATGTCAACATGTCAACAACAACAACTGTGTTTTCTTTGTATTTTATTGCTGTTTGACTCTAAGTGCGGCACATGCTGACAAAGAATAAGAAGCCAAGAGAGACAATTAGAACTAGAATGATGCAGAAAATGCAAGCATTTGTTGAAAGATGGTTGACTTACCGTTTACATTATCCCCAATTAATAACAATAACTATATATGGAGTTCTGCTCTGTTTATGTATGTGTGTGAGAGAGAGACACTGGAAAGAAAGCACTGAAAGATACCAAATACATTCAAATTCATTGGGTCTTGTGTTATTTAACTTGGGCAGGAATAAGTGACCTGGTTCAGTTATAGTTTTAGTTTTCATTTGGGTATTGCATATATAAAATATGTTTTAAAGGACCAGCTGCAGTGGCAATACTCCTCTTTTACAGAAACTTCATGCTGTCACTATCCTTAAGTGTCCATTAGTGTGAACCTAGCTCTGTGTATAACTCTGATGCCTTCCCTGAGGTCCTAATATTGCCAAAGAATTCTGAGAATGGCTGCTTTAAGAAGTTGGTGTCTGGTGCTGCCTATGTACCCCATATGTGCACTGAAGCATCTTTCTGCTTTCAAATATGCAGTACTGTATAGATCTATCATTCACAACTAGATTATCAAATCTGGCTGGCATCAGCTTGAGAAAATACATCTAACATAATGCTGCTACAAGGTGACTAAAAACATATTTATAATATATAATAACTTATTAGCCTGGAACTCACCAGGGTTGTAGGTGACAACACATTAAATTTGATGGATGATTTTAGTAGTATAATTTCTCTTTACATATAATATTTCTTTCCAGGATAGAATTCTTTAATAAAAGGGTACATAACCTCTAGAGCCTTTAAATCCTTAAAGATTGTTTTTTCTGTGCCAGAAAGAAAATAATGTTAAAGTCATAAACACTGAATTAAATTTAGGTTGGTCCTGACTTTCCCAACTTCTTTATCCTGAATGCATGGAGCATGGAGACAACCAAGGGAACGTAGGTCTAGGTGGAATAAAGGCCCCTTTAAGAGTAAATGTGTGCTAGACATTGCTTTGCTATGATTTATATGTTAGACATTTGTTAAATAAGCTGACTGACTTTTTGTTATATTAAAATTTCAGTTACATCCAAATGTTGAAGTCTAACGACTGCAATGTGTTCAGTTGCAGTATGACTTGATTTAAATATCTACTGCAGCGGTTCTCAACCTGTGGGTCGTGACCCCTTTGGGGGTCGATTGACCCTTTCACAGGGGTCACCTAAGACCATCAGAAAACACATTTCCGATGGTCTTAGGAACCGAGACACCACTCCGCATCCATCTCTGCATGGCCTCCTCCGCCATTTGCAGAAAGAGAGAGAGAGAGAGAGAGGCACTTTCACTTCTCTTCTCTCTCTCTCTCAGGTGGACTTACCTCCTGCAGGGCTCCTGATTGGCCCTGCGCCCAGGTGCCCCACCCCCTGGGAGAAGTGTGGCCAGGGCCTCGTGGCTTGGAGCCACCCGGGGAAGCCCCAGGATCCCTGCTGGGAGCGGCCCGCTGGAGGCTCTGCTGAGCGGGCCAGCCTTCCTGAAACCACGGCCCAAGGGAGACCAGCCCCTGCGATCCCCAGCCAGCCCAACCACTGGACCTGCTGGCTGGGAAGGTGCGCCGGAATCCAGGCTGCTGGGAAGGAAGAAGAGATTCAGCAAAGGTAGGAGAGGAGAGCCACCTCCTGGGGCCCGGTGCTGGCAGTGGCTTCCTTGCCCTCCTCTTCCTCCTCCTCTTCTTCCTCCTGCTGCCCCCAAAGCGGCTTGGGCGGGCGCTGGGGCAAGAGGGGTGCCTGGGTGGGAGCAGCCAGGCTGGCAGAGGGGCTGGCAGGGGCCGCACGGCACCAGCCCCCACCGCGGCTCCATTGGATGGGCGGAGGGTGAGGATGGGTAGCACGGAGTCCCGGCTAGGGTGACTGCTTCCTTGCCCTCCTCCTCTCCTTCCTCCTGCCCCCCAGGCAGCTTGGGTGGGCACTGCCTCCACCACGGCTCCATCGATGGGCAGAGGGTGAGGCCGGGCAACGCGGAGTCCCAGCAGGGGCGGTGGCCAGGCCGGGGGTGGCAGGGACCCTGATGATGCTGCCCTGTTGCTGCTGCTGCCACCTGGGCTGCTGTCTCTGTCCTGCTCCCCCTCCCAGCCCGTTTGGCTGAGAATGCGGCGGCTGGGCCGGGGCGGCGGCAAGGAACCCCAACGATGCTGCCGTGCCGCTGCCTCCCATCCTGCTCCCCCTCCCGCCCATTCACTGAGGACGTGGCAGCCAGGCTGGGGGTGACAGCGAGGAACCCCAACAATGCTGCCGCTGCTGCCACCAAAGCCGCTGACTCCTGTCCTTTCCATCCCTGCCCCTTTGGCTGAGGATGCGGCGGGGCGGTGGCTGGGCCGGGGGCGGTGGTGAGGAACCCAGATGATGCTGCTATGCTACCGCTGCCACCGCTACCTCCCATCATGCTCCCCCTCCCTGCCCGTTCGGCTGAGGATGTGGGGCGGTGGCCGGGCCGGGGTGGTGGCGAGGAACCCCAACAATGCTGCCGTGCTGCCGCCACTGCCATTGAAGTCACTGCCTCCCATCCTGCTCCCCCTCCCCGCCCCTTCGGCTGAGGATGTGCAGAGGCCGGGGGCAGTGGGGACCCCCAACAATACTGCCGTACAAGAGAGAAAGAGAGAGAGGAAAGAGAGAGAGGAAAGAGAGAGAAACAGAGGAAAAGAAAGAGGAAAGAGAGAGAGAAAGAGAAAGAAGGAGGAAACAGAAAGAGAAAGAGGAAAGAGAGAAAGAGGAAAGAAAGAGAGAGAGAGGAAAAAGAAAGAGAAAGGGGGAGATGAAAGAGTGGAAAAAGGGAAAGAGGAAAGAGGGAGAGAGAAGAGAGAGAATGAGAAGAGAGAGAGAGAAAGAGGAAAGAGAGAGAGGAAAGAGAGCAAGAGAGAGAGGAAAGAGAGAGAGAAAGAGCGAAAGAGGGAGAGGAATGGCACTTCTCCAACCAGGCTGGGCAGAGCTGACAGAGCGGCCTTCCTGCCCCCCTCCTCCCCGGCCAGCTGGATGGGGGGTTGGGGTCACCACAACATGAGGAACTGTATTAAAGGGTCACGGTATTAGGAAGGTTGAGAACCACTGATCTACTGACTCTGTTGAAATTTTTGTTTTAAAAAATACAGAAAAATATTACAATTTTTTTTTCAAAAGATATAGATATCTTGGTTTTGTTTGATTCTTTAATAATCAATTAGAGATGTCCAGGGAGTCCAAAAAGACAAACCAGCAGTCACAATGGCATGACTGAAGCCCTACTCATTTTTTAAAAGTGTCATCTTGGTTTTCCTGACTTCAGTATCAGTGCCTTTAGCTACTTAAATATGGACAAATGCCTGTGGTGTCCATGATAACATTCCTAGAAAGCAAGATGATTTTCATTCAGCCTGCAACAAAGGGAAGGATAAAACCTTTCACCCCCTAGCCTTAAACATGTGCAAATAGCACAGTATTATTTGCTTTAATGAAGGTACACAATATTGTTTGCCCTGTAGTGTAGGTAGTTCCATGAAGCCTCTTAGGAAAGAGATCTGAAGCCTCTGAAACTGAAAAGTAAGACATCGACAGGAAACAGTCCAAGGTAATGGAAAAAAATGAGTCAGTCAGTTGAAACAAAATTAGCCTAGCTTCAATTGTTTGACATATAAAGAACTTTTGGCTTGCTCAGGATGAATGTGTTAGTGTTTTTCTCCATCCCTAATGGTAAAAAATCAACTTCAATATATTAATTGGCAAATATGCATTTTTCCTTTGCTGACAATTTCAGGATTCTAGGTAACTAGCTAATTAGACATACATACAGTATTGCTGTGAGTTGTGAAAATTTCTAGTGCTGTTGTTCGAAGCTGTTACATTATTCTGTTTTACTTCACCATCCTCATCTCTTTACAAGTTATCTAAATCTTGTTTGATTATATATGAATTATGGATTTCCTGCTTTCTTGTTAGCTATAATGATTTGCATATATTTCTAAAGCAAAATATATGTACAATCCCAGAGTGATTTCTAAATGGACTATTCTTGTTCTCATAAAACAATCTTCTATGCTGTTCCTCCTGCTTTCTGGAACATCTTGTTCCCCAATGTGAGGTTGGCCCCAACCCTTCTATCTTTTTGTAAGGGCCTAAAGACATGGCTATGCAGGTTGGCTTGGGGCCCCAGTGGGGGATCAGCACAATGGAAGTGGCTGATTGAGTAATAACAGATCCCCCTCCCCCCTCTGCCCCCGCCCGCCCCATGTGTCTTTGGCTGTAGGGTTTGATTTTAACATTTTATGTTTTTTATTTTATTTTATTTTAAAAATTTTATTTGAATTTTCAATACATATAATACTTTCCATACATTATATATAAAACTAAAAAAAGATAAAAATACCTTTAAAATAAGACCTTAGGTGTCGCTCGTCTATCTCCCCCCGACTGCATCCGCCCTCTCAACCTTCCTTCCTTACTTCCCTATTCCCTCTCTCCTCTCCTCTCCTCTCCTTTCTCCCCTCACCCCTTCCTCCCATCCAACTTCCTTCCTTCCCTCCTCCTCCCCTCTTATCCCTCTTCGGATACAGTTCAGGGGAAACACCCGAGCGGCACCTCCCTCTAAATTACTCCATCTATTTCACACTTTAATATTTCTATATATACTTAATCCCACCCCACCCCTCCCCCTACCCCCCACTTCCCAGAGCAAAATACAGGGTTATTATAAACAAAACAAACACAATAAAACAACAACAAAAATATATACAATAAACAAATTCATACATTACCCTTAACTCTCTCTAAACATAATAATAATAATAATAATAATAATAACAACAACAATAATAATAACATAAACAAATCTACTATAAATCAAATATTATAAAAATCTATACATAGTAATTATAACCTG